AATGGGAGACGATTCTTCTATTCCTATTTGTGGTTTAGGTGTCGTGTGTCTTGAATTTACTTCTGGAAAGACAATTAGGTTATTTGATGTTTTGTTTGTTCCCAAGATTAGCAAGAATCTTGTTAGCTCTAGTTGTTTGAATTCTGATGGTTTTAAACAAGTTATTGAGTCGGATAAGTTTGTTTTGTCTAAGGGTGGAATGTTTGTTGGCTTTGGATATTTAAATAATAGAATGTTTCGTTTAAATATTGTTGACAAATTATTACCTATTCAAAATTCTGCATTTGTATCTTCTGCTTCTAATGTTGATAAATCTATGCTTTGGCTTGTAAGATTAGGTCATGTCAACTTTAGAAGGATGCATGAGATGTCAAAATATGGATTAATTCCAACCTTTGATATGACATCTGATAAATGTAAAACATGCATGCTTACAAAAGTGACAAAACAACCATTTCCTAGTGTTACTAGAAATTCAGCTGTTTTGGAACTTGTACACAGTGACCTGTGTGATTTTCACTCCACTCCTTCTTTGGGAAATAAAAAGTATGTGGTCACTTTTATTGATGACTGCACTTGGTTTTGCTATGTGTATTTGTTGCATTCTAAGGATGAAGCCTTAGATAAATTCAAAATATACAAAACCGAGGTGGAATTGCAATTGGGAATTCCGGTTAAATGTCTCAGGACTGATAGGGGAAGTGAATATATGGATCCCATATACTTCCAATCAGTGGGTATCATTCATGAGACCACGACACCTTACACGCCCCAATAGAATGGTATTGCTGAACGCAAAAATCGAGTTTTAAAGGAAATGGTAAACTCGATGTTGTCTTACTCGGGATTGAGTGAAGGATTCTGGGGAGAGGCCATGTTAACGACCTGCTATCTATTGAATATGGTTCCAAATAAAAGGAACAAAACAAGCCCATATAAACTTTTGTTCAAGAAAAAGCCGAATTTGAGTTATTTTCGGGTTTGGGGATGTCGGGCAGTTGTAAAACTCACCGAGCCCAAAAAGAAGAATTTGGGAGAACGTGGAATTGATTGCATATTCATTGGATATGCTGAACATTCCAAGGCATATAGGTTTTATGTAATAGAACCTAATGATTCGGTTTCAGTTAACACTGTGATCGAATCACGAGATGCAATTTTTGATGATATGAGGTTTTCATCGATTCAAAGGCCTAAGGATCTGACTTTTGGTGCTAATAAAGGGCAAAATTCAGAAAGTCAAGATGGTGGTATCGTGCAAGAACCACAAGATATTCGTAGAAGCAAAAGAGGCCAAATTGCGAAACATTTCGGATCCGACTTCCAACTATTCTTGGTGGAAGGTTTGAGGGATGAAATTAGTCTTGAATACTCTTATTGCTATAGTATTGAAGATGATCCTAAGACTTATCAAGAGGCCATGGAGTCTCGTGATAGTGCCTTTTGGAAGGAAGCAATTGATGATGAAATGTCATCAATTCTTGAGAACAACACATAGGTGTTGTCTGATTTGCCTCCGGGTTCTAAACCTCTTGGTTGCAAATGGATTTTCAAAAAGAAAATGAATGTTAATGGGACTATTGACAAATTCAAAGCCCGGTTAGTCATTCAAGGTTTTAGACAAAAACCCGATATTGACTATTTTGATATGTATGCTCTAGTTGCACGTATTTCTACTATTAGATTGTTGGTTGCCTTGGCAAGTATCCACAATCTGGTTATTCACTAAATGAATGTGAAAACAACCTTTTTAAATGGTGATCTTGATGAGGAAGTTTACATGAAACAACCAAAAGGTTTCATTATGCCCGGTAAAGAGCATATGGTTAGTAAACTTGTCAAATATTTGTATGGGTTGAAACAAGCGCCTAAACAATGGCATCAGAAATTTGATGAAGTTATTTTGTCCTCTGGTTTCAAGACAAACCAATGTGAGAAATGTGTTTATAGTAGATTTGATGATGCTACTAGAGCTGGAGTGATCATTTGCTTATATGTAAATGACATGTTGATTTTCGGTACCGACCAAAATCAAGTGGATGAAACAAAGAAATTGTTATCATCCAAGTTTTCTATGAAAGATTTAGGAGAGGCTGATGTAATTCTTGGAATAAGAATTAAGAGGATGAACAAAGGATTGGTAATGAATCAAAGTCATTATATTGAGAAAATTCTCAAGCGGTTTAATTTTACAGATTGTTCTCCTGTGAGTACTCCTATGGATCCAAGTGTGAAATTAATGCCAAATAATGGCGTTCCCATTTCACAATTGGAATACTCTAAGGCTATTGGTAGCTTGTGTATGCCATGACAAGTACCAGACCTGATATTGCTTTTGCTGTGGGTAAGTTGAGCAGGTACACTAGCAATCCTAGTGCTCAACATTGGCAAGCAGTGAATAGAGTATTTAAGTATCTCAAGGGAACCATGAATTATGGTTTGAGTTACTTGGGGAGTCCTTCGGTTTTAGAAGGTCATTCAGATGCAAGTTGGATTACCAACATGGAGGACCATTCCTCAACTTATGGTTGGGTATTCTTGCTCGGGGGAGGTGCCATTTCTTGGGCTTCCAAGAAGAAATCTTGCATTACAAACTCGACAATGGAATCTGAGTTTGTTGCGTTAGCAGCTGCTGGTAAAGAAGCAGAGTGGCTAAGGAATTTAGTCTATGAGATTCCTTTGTGGTCTAAACCGATAACACCTATTTCTATCCTTTGCGATAGTGCTGCCACTTTGGCTAAAGCATATAGCCAGGTTTATAATGGCAAGTCTAGACACCTAGGTGTTAGACATAGTATGATTAGAGAATTAATCATGAATGGTGTGATTTCGGTTGAGTTTGTGAAATCGCAACAAAATTTGGCAGATCACTTGACTAAAGGTCTGACAAGAGACTTAGTGCACAAGTCTGTAATCAGGATGGGATTAAAGTCCATTTAATTCTATAATGATGAGACACCCAATTCCCTCCTAATATAATGTTAGGAGTTGAATTCAATGTGGAAAGCTCATACTTATAGATTGTAACACATGAAGTATTCATCCCAGGTATGTGTTCGGTTCTGCAAGTTAGCCAGGTTGAAGTTTAACTTCTTAATAATTCCTTTGATAAATGTATGTGCAGATACATGGAAAGGATTTACCTACGTGATTGTGAAGTGTAGCCGCATTTCAAGAAGTTGTGGACTTGACCTTGATACGATCATGAGAGGATTGGGACACACGACTTTATAATAGTGTCAAGTTGTATTATGCTATAAATTCAATAAAATAGTATGTATTTTACTTTCTGGTATTCAAATGGGTTGATGGGTTCAATTCTTAGAACACCCTGATTCTCGGGTATTTGCAAATGTATGATACTAAGTGGAAATTCAATCGTTTTGATATTTTCATTATGTACTAGTTTGGTTTGTTTGATAAGGTTATGTTTGTTCAAGGGTTACACTAAAATGGGGGAGGATTGTTGGTGATTTTAGTGCCACCATGTCATTTTAAGTAACTGGAACCAACATGTGAGCTAAGGGGCTTTATGATTTGTACTATAATATATGTACGGGGGTTGTGCGGAGTGCACGCATGTATAAGATCGAATCAGAAGCCGGTTCGACGACCAGTCGGGGTTTCCAAAGGGGCAGCGCCCCTTTGGCGGGGTCTAGGGGCAGCGCCCTAGCGGGGTCGAGGGGCAGAGCCCCCGCGGGGTTTGGGGCAGCGCCCCAAAACCTCACTGAATTTTACATATGGGAACATAATGGAAAATTCAATTTCTTGAGGGTGATTATGGTAAAACTAACGAAACTCGTTAGTTTTTGGTAACCCTAAATCCTCATTAAATCCGAATTAACATTACTTGCTTCCAAAGTAACTAATGACGGCCCAACCCTAATGAAACCCTAATCGTGTTTAATATATAAACAACTATTCCTCTACAGAAGAGGGTTAGTATCTTAAGCTCTCGTTTTCATCTGACTTTCACAGAATCCTCTAGCATATTGGCTTACGTCTTCTGTGCCTAGAAACGTAAGTGTTCACTTGGATTATCCTAGGTTGAATTTCTTGTAACCCAGACATAGGGTAGAAATATCAGTTCGGAAAGTGATATTACGATCCAAGTTGGTATCCAGATCTCCACCACAAACCCTAAATTTCCCAACAAAACCATCCATCTAATCATCATCAAGATCATCCCGACGCATCATTCAGGTATAATCATCCATTATTATCATTATAATCGTCACCACGGGCACGATGCCCCCCAATAACACGCCACTCCCGATAACCTTAGAAACAAATGTCATTTATTTCTTTTCGTTGGACAAACTTCAAAGACATGGACTATTCCTTCCATAGAGTGATAAGTATGCAATGTATTTCCTATGGTTTCTCTTTTTTTATCCTTCCCGCTTTTTTTCAATTTTCAACTTACAAATTCCGATACAAACATGTCTTCTTTAATTCTTGATATTCGTGTTATGATCTAATTCTCCAAATCACAGCAATTCATTTCACGTAATACAATATTTATTGTTTTAAGGCCCATGCAACTTTTTTTTATAATCATATAATATTTGTCACATAATATCCGTGATGGACTTAAATATTTGGGTCCTTGTGAGAGTTTAGCCCTAAACAATCGTACAAATCGCATCCTGTCTGGATCGGGCATGATGTTATTACTGAAAAAAATAATATCAGTCACACTCCACTCTGCATAAAAAATATCCAAATATATAAATATATTTATATTCTTTTAAAATTTGATCTGTTTTAAAGATATTTATCACAATAATTTGAAAATAATCACTAATGGCATGTTCTCATATGGTCAATAGTGGCGTCGAACGGGCCGACGACAATGCAACACCTACGAAACAGCATTTTCTAAGAACTTTCTCCTATCCAACCAATCACATCACGCCACGTTTCCTACAACATGTGTTGACCACGATAACACACAACACCCTCCCACACCATATATCAATCTCCCACACAGCTCTCTAATGGAAGCAGCGACTTATTCGTTGCCTCCTTCCATTGAACCTATCGTCGTTTTCAACGATCAATCATCTCGTTTCTTCTGGATATACCCGTCGTTGAAAGTTGAAACCCTAAAAGGTTCCAGTTCTTCATCTCAATTCCAGTTTTCACACTTTCACGTGGTTTTTAAGGTTAGGGTTTCGTCTAAACCTGAAATCTTGGATTCAAAATTCGTGTTTCTGTATCTCTGTATCTGTATGTGTTGAGTGTTTTTCTGTTTCTGAAAAAAAATTATGGAGTTCAATGTATCGGATGAGTTTTTGGGGACGGTGGCTCCGTTAGTGGTGTATTGGTTGTATTCTGGATTTTACGTGTTGGTTGGATCGGGAGAGAAGTATCGATTGCATTCGAAAAAAGATGAAGAAGATAAGAATTTGGTTTCGAAGACGACTGTTGTTAAAGGTGTTCTTCTCCAACAGGCTATTCAAGCTGTCGTCGCCATTATTCTTTTCACAGTACGTTTAATTGTTCCTAATATGCTTATTTTGAGAATATATAACTTAATTTGTTGCAAAAACTTGATTTTGTTCTACACGATGAATGAATGACAAATGATTCCTCTTTTGGAAAAAGTGGTTTAAAATTGGTTGTTGGTATGGTTCAATCAGTTACTCTGCCTTTACCAAAACGTAAGTGATCATAAATACTATGCTTACTAATTTCTTCCAAATACGAATCTTCAATGGAGTAGGTATTAAGTTAGATCCTGTTAATCATCGATAATTTCTCCATCAATAGTTATAATTAGATGCCTGTTTCATGTTCTAAATTCTGTCTCTCCATGTAATTTCATCTTCTAATCTTTAGGATTTCCGATCTACGATTTAGGTTACTGGAAGTGATGAAGATTCTACCACCACCAAAACCCACTCACTCTTTGATCTCGCAAGACAATTCTTCACAGCAATGGTGGTAATCGACACCTGGCAATACTTCATGCATCGATACATGCATCAAAACAAGTTTCTATATCGCCATATCCACTCCCTTCATCATCGCCTCATTGTTCCATACGCATTTGGAGCTCTTTACAATCATCCAGTCGAAGGTCTTCTACTGGACACCATTGGTGGAGCACTTGCTTTCCTCATATCAGGCATGTCCCCTCGAGCTTCCATCTTCTTTTTCTCATTTGCCACAATCAAAACAGTTGATGATCATTGTGGATTATGGCTTCCTGGGAATCTTTTCCATGTGTTTTTTTGGAATAACTCTGCTTACCATGATGTTCATCATCAACTTTATGGGACAAAATATAACTACTCACAGCCTTTCTTTGTTGTTTGGGATAAAATATTTGGGACTTATATGCCTTATTCACTTGAAAAGAGAGAGAATGGTGGGTTTGAAGTAAGACCTGTAAAAGATGTCAAGGATGAATGATTCTTTTCTATGGTTAATAGATTATATATGTATCATTATGTTTGCATTCACTGTTTAAATGTTTAAGTATATTTATCTTGTCATCATAAGTGTCCAATATATATAGTGTCTACCAATTTTGTAAAATATTGGGATTACAATCTTCTTTATTCTTTTTTGTGTATTGTAACAAATGTTTCATTTATGTTGATGTTTGTAAACTTATTGATAGCTAAAGGGAGTTTTTAAACATATGATGCAAACTTGTTATCATTTCTTTGTGAAAATGTTGAAGAACACTTGGGGTGTTTTTGGTTTATGGGTTCTGATAGAATTGGAATTGGAATTGGAATTTGAGATTCCATTCGAGGGCATGTTTGGTTGCCAAATGGATGGAATTCAAATTGTTGGGAATCGTTTTAATTCCATGTTTGCTGGCTTTTTCATCATTCCTAGAGGATAGCGGATTCCAGGGTGGAAGGAATTGAATTGGATTCTTTCTTTTTTGGTAAATGACCAAAATACCCTCATTGTATATACATTGATGAAAAAAAAACTAAGACTTCAATTTATTTATATATACAAAAAGCAAAAAAATGTTGGTTACCAACTTACATTATTTTAAGCATCTAATGAGTTGTTATGTTTATGGTTTATATGTGGATGCAATGTAAGCAAATTGTGGCATAGAAGTAATCCACATGTGTGATAATGTGGACAATGACATGGCGAATCATGCCATGTCATCATTTTATATAGGTTTCAAGGTAATTGCTATTTTGGGTGGAAGATAAATTGCATTGTCTATAATGGTAAAAAAAAGGTAAGTGTAATGCTATGAAACCTCTATCAACCTAACATTTCACTTTGAAATACAAAATTTCTTTTGGCAGTAAAATTGAATTTGTATTGCTCTCTCTCCTCACAACAACAAAAACAACTTAAAAAATGTCGATAAGCATGTTACAGTTTTTTTTTTAATTTTTTTTTATTATTTTTATTTTTTAAAGTCAAACTCAAACCTTCGGTTTCTATTTCGGCGTCGGTTTTTCTGTTTTCAGGTTTGATTTTGGTTACCCTAATTGCAATGAACACGTCTATCGCACTTCCAAACTTAAATTGGTGGCCATTTTATGTTAAAAAACTAAAAAACATGACCATTTTATTAAAGTAAATTTTAGAAAAGTCTTTGTATTCAGAGTTTTTTTAACGATAATGCCGTGACTTTAGTTTTTTAATGACAAAAAACGGGCAATGTTTATTTAAAAAAACAAGAAAGCAACAATCATTTATACATATTTATAAATATTTGGGCAATTGTTTCTTTAAAAAAACAAGAAAGCAACAATCATTTATACATATTTATAAACATTTGGTATTTTAGCCGGCAATCTTAAGAAAAATGCATATATTTTAAGATTATTAAAGATAAATGCATATATTCTAAGATTATTAAAGATAAGACGATATTTTTTTAACATATAAGAATAGAAAATATTTTTACTATAACTTTACTGTATTCTCTTTGTTTCATAGAAATTATTTTTTTACTATATTCTCTTTAAAAAGTATTATCTTATTGTATTATCTATGTGTGAGAGAGGGTATTATATTATTGTATTTTCTTTTTCAGAGAGTCTTGTCTTATTGTAATCTTATGTATTCTATGAAACTTGTCAGAAGACCTTGTCTTCCGTAAGATTAAAATGCTAAATCAGAAAGTTACAAAAACAATTATTTTTGAAAAAAAAAACTCAGCCAAAATGTTATAAAAACAATTATTTTTATAAAAACCTCGACCAAAAAGTTACAAAAATACAATTATTTCCATACAGAGGATTTCGCCTATTAACAGAGAGAATACAGTAAAATAATACCTTTTGTCACATATAGATACTACAATAACTAAGATAATACCCTCCCTCATATAGATGAAATGCATTAAGATAATAATAAGACAAAACCCTTTTTTAGACATAGAAAATACAATGAGATTATAGTAAAACAAAACTATCTGTCAAACAAAAAGAATACAATAATATCACAGTAAGATATCCTCTATAAAATAGAGAGAATACAACAAGATTACAGTAAGATAATACTTCTATCAGACCCAAAAAATTAACAAGACCATACTAAGATAATTTACTGTCTTTTTTAGTTAAAAAATCGTGGTTGTATTGTTAATGTACCCGGAATATAGGGCTTTGCTGGAAATTACCATCTAAAATCTCACATATTTAATGATTGTTGGTTTCTTGTCATTTTTTTTTATAAATAATTGTCGGTTTTTGTTATTTTGTATTAAAAAAAAATAAAGTACAAAGTTTATTGTTAATTGTCCCGTTTATAGAGACTTTTCTAGAAGATTTCTATTTTGATAAAAATATTCTCAAATTTTGGCCGTTTTGTGATTTTCATTCATAAGAATGGGCTGTGGGGTTGATTAGTAACTCACAGCAGAAAAAAACATTTTTTTACACTAAAATACTGTGTCACATGATGGAATGTTTTTCTTCTACGAGAATTATTTATGACAATTATTGTTGAACACATGGATACCTTCATATTTGAGCTGTCGAGATTCTCTCATGATTGAACTATTTACCCGAAAAACCCTTTTTTGTAACCATATATGCTTTTGACCCCGAATGTTTTTGCAGACATCTCATGTAAGATAATGCATCATTTTATCTTAGAAGTTACTTTAATTTAGTTTGTAGGGGTGGAAACTCGAGTTTTACCACCAAATTATCCCAAAACTGTTTTTATGTATGAAGTGTCCGAAGATGTATAACCAAGTACAAACCGGATCTAAAAAACCAGTTGTAAATTTTGTCTTTTTAAAATAACTACAATATAACCCGAGTTAAACGCGAGGAACGCATAAAAAAAGATACAAACGTCTATAGATATTGCATAATAATTAAAAAAAATTATGACTATTAGTATTATTGAAATGTGTAGAAGATACACTGAAATCGATAAATATCTATAATCGTTGAAAGACCTCTTTGTAGACAATATTTTTTGTTTTATTAGTTGAACGACCTTCCGCGTAACATATGAGTACCTTCAAACATTTTTACTTGTGATACGGGAAACAACTACATATAACTGACTATGAGTGAAAACGGGTCTACGCAAATATAATTCAACATTTGATAATGACTGTCCTTGACTTTTGTTAATGGTCATAGCGAAACAAACAACTATAAGAAATTGCATTCGCTGAAAACGGAATGAAACTTTTTTATCAGATGGGGTTAACCTCATGCGAGGTATATAAGTAGTCTCATTGAAAAATATGCCATATATGATTCGGGCTTCAGTGACGTGTCTTCCAAGCCTTACGATCTGTAATCTAGTACCATTGCATAGTCCTTTGGTTTGGTCGATATTACGAAGTAACATGACCGAAACACTTTTTTTTAGTATAAGTTTATGGTTGGGAATTCCGGAAGCCTTAAAACCATTCAACACATCTGGAGAGTATACCGATTCCTCAAAAGAATCTTGTGCCTCGGTCTCACATAAAGAATCTGAACTCAGATACGTTTTCCCTTCATCTTTCATCGATTCTAACATGTAGTCGCTGATATCATCAACTTCTTTATTTGTAGGGACCAAAATAGCTTTATCTTGAAAATACGATGGATCACCAAGATGGTTCTGAAAGGATGAATAAATGGTGGATACAATTGAATGAATATGGTCACCCGTAGAGGGAATGATAACATCTTCTGGAAATTCAACTTCAACTTCACCATCATTAAGGGCCACCAATAGTACCTTCACCAATTTTAAGAATCCATTCAACAAAGGATTTTGTCTCTTCGAAATCATTGTTTGGACAGCCGACCTGAAGCCTCATGTTTATATTCAAATGTAAAACTGTACATTCACGCCATAATCTTGATGAATGCAATGATGCCTGGACAATATCTGAACGATTTCCTCTTTGTATTACTGGAAGAACCTGTCGAAAGTCACCTCCAAATACAATGGTCTTGCCTCCAAACGGTTTATTCTTGTCCGATGAAAGAATAACGTCTCTAAGTGTCCTATCAATTGCTTCGAAACAATGATGGTGCATCATCGGGGCTTCATACCATATGATAAGTCTAGCTTTATTCAACAGTTCAGCTACACTGTTACCTGACGTAATAGAACAAAACGAATCCTCATTCAAGTTGATTGATATATGAAATCTTGAATGCCCTGTCCCACCACCAGAGAGCAAGAGTGCTGCAATTCCGCTTGAAGCAACGTTGATAACAATTTCACCTTTAGATCTAATAGCAGCAGGCAATGTCTTCCAAACAAATGTTTTTACTGTTCCTCCATAACGATACAGGAAAAAGACACCACCTTTTTTGTTGTTAACAACATTGATAATTGTATCATAAACCTTTTTTTGCTCGACATTTAATTTGGAATGCAGTTGTTGATGTTCGACTTCAAGACTGGATGAATCATAATTAAGCTCACCTTGAATTAACATATTGCAAGAATCTTGAATATATTTGTGATCAGGTAATGGCATATTGGGTATTTGCTTCAGAATCAGTCCACAACTCAATAAATATTTCTCAATGTATGACAACGTAAGGTGGAAAATTGCTCCTGGTTTTAACTTCAAGCCTGAAAAGACAAAAAATTATGAAAATATTTATTTTTAATATCAATTAATTTTAGAACGTTTTTTTGTGTGTAAATGGGTTAGATTATTTGAAAATGTACATGTTACGTCGATTTCTTGTTCACGAATGTGAACGACATCATCGAAAAGTGATGAAGTGTGGAATCAAGTATGAATCAAATCAGAGTAATCAGAATATAGATTGAACACACGATGTAAATATGATCTGGTTTCAGCTCTATTATGCTTTCAATGTTACAGAGAGAAAATAGACAAGTTCATACAAAGACTCTTATCTAACTCTAAGTAATGTTCCTATTTATAGGAAACATGAAAGCACACAAAAAATTACAAGGACTAAAACAATACTCTTCATTACATAAAATGCCTTGTAAAATAAACTTATGACTTCGACATATTACAACAGGTCTTCGACCCTTACATTCTCCCCCTTTGTAATCATGTCGACCATCTTCAGTTCAAAAGAATCTGTATAGCATACAACATCACTCTTCGAATTTCAGAATACCAAGAAATGATCTTCTTCAATTCTTTCTTGTCGCCTTCGTTATTCTTCTTGCAGCTATTCATACGAACAATGAAGTTTGTG